AATTCCCCAGCCAGCCATTGAAGTCCACTCATCTTAAAGTGGCCAAGTTTGGACAACACTGGATTAGGACAAATGTAAACCTTGTCATCTGAGTTTAAATCTTCTACTAAAGGATGATAGTTGTGGCTCTTGTTTTTGTTCTAAGTATTATTTTCTGCTGTAATAGCTAAGACAAATCAGTATCACACATACCCAGAATAATTTCCCAGAAATATCATAATTTAAATTTAGATAAAATAAATAAAATATATAAATGGGAAAAAAGTATACGCACTTGTTTTACCTGTATGAGTCCTGGTGTGAGTCTTCAGATGATCAGATCTGGAGAACTTTCTCTGACAGGTTTTACACTGGAAGGGTTTCACACCTAAATAGATAAAATAAATCTATTCCTGTATTCCAATACCTTTTCAGGGGTATGAGAGTATCAGTTCTTCTGAATTTCAGAAATATGGGCTTTTAGTTTTATTTAACAATTGCCTTTTTTTTCCCTTAAATACAAATCTCCACATCCCAAGTCTCATTAATCAAGCATCTCAACTATCTGACCTTTTACAACTTCCTTGTCCTTTTTAACTCCATTTAGTGCTTTCACCACGTCTTTGTTTCTGGCAAACAAAGGAAGCATTAATTCACTTTGGATAGAAAACTTGAAAAATTGCAAATAAGAAACATCATGTAATTCTGGTTGTTATTTCTACAGAGCAATAAAGTCCTGGGCTTTTTTCCATTTCCATTTACTTCAGTACAGCATTCTTCACATTTTCCAAGCACTTTTTAAAAAGTTTATACAGGAGGTGATTTTTTAAAAATTAATTTGAGTTTATTCTCTATACCTAGAAGATTCTTTAAAAATTAACTATGCATGTAAAATCAAGCACAGTATTCCATTTACCTCATTTCTAAGCTTAAATACTTATGATTGTCCCTAAAGGAATTCCAAACATTTGGTAGTATGCTATTAATTTAGATATTTTAATTAGATATTTTAAAACATGGAAGCTATATAAATATGATGAAATAAATAAATAAATAATAAAATATTCCCTAATGTGTAGACATCCACGCAAGCATGTCTTTCATGAAACATTTTCTCGTTATATCTTAAGAAACCAGCTTTTTTTTTTTTTAATGTACTAAGGCTGAAATCTTAAATTTACTTACATGGGAGCAAACCCTATTGAGCTTAGTGGATTTTATTTCTGACTGTACTGCTAGCTGTTTCTCCAATGCTGTGATTTTTATTGAAAATATATACAAGCTTTAGAATATTTGTTTGAAATGCGCTCTCAATCGTACAAGGTAGACCAGACCAAGAAACAGATACCACTTGTCCTAAAGCTACCTTTATTAGAATGGCTATAGTACCAGAATTTTGCGGGTCTGAATGTGCTTCCCTTCCTCCCTCTGAGAATTAGGTCTGAGATGTTTTCATAAATTTCTCTCTTTCTTTGGGCTTAAGCCACGTTTATCTGTTTGTTGCCTTGGTAGTGGATCTTCCCTCTCTCTGCCAAGGTCATTCTCTATACTCTCTACACATGTACAAGAGCTTTGCTTCTCTAGACTGCAGTGCCAAGTAAGCTGTACAACATGAGGAGAGTTTATTTATACTGTCTGATGTATTTGGGTTAGGGTGGATGACCTGAGTCAGTACATGGGATAATTCTAGTTACTTCACAAAGTAACTATAGGGCTGCAAGGAACTGACAGAACATTTGTATTTCTTCTGCAAGATGGTGGCAGCAGAGTAGGACTTTTTGCAAGGGTTTGATGGTGCTAATTAATGAAGGTTTACAGCTTCTCTGCAGAATCCAAATATACAGGAAATGGAAAAGGTTATGGTGTTATGGTGTAAAGTGATGGGATTTGTGTGTGCTCAGCAGTATTTTCTTTTGGAAGGAGAAATTAATTGAAATTGAGATACAAATGTGTTTGCATGCTTTAGGAACTCTGGGATTTGATTATATAACCTGGGGTCTACTTATTCCTAGTGCTTTGACTTGAATGATTGTTTTGTTTGCAATATTGCTGAAAGCCACTAAAAGTTGTTTAAAGGAATACTGTCAGAAAAGACGATTGGCTGGGATTTGTTTAATTATGCTTTTCCTTACATTCTGTTGTTGCTTCTAGGGTACACTTGCCTATAGGGAAATCGGGGGGGAGGATTCAACAACATCAAAATGGCAGGCATGACCAGAGGATTGAAGCTCCACAGCTTTTTAATGTCTGTTGCACAATTAAATATTTCTAATGTTAATGGTAATTCCCATGATTTTCCATTAGCATTAGAAATATCCAGTGTATGTATGTATGCATGCATGCATGCACACACACACACACACACAACTCTTTGGCTACACATTAATGAAATTCTGGCCATAGTTTGCCCGACAAACTATGTTTATCCTTATCAATTATGAACCATCTCTCATGGGATGAAGCCCTCCCCATCAACCAGCCCTAATTGGCCCCAGCAGAGGAAGGAAAGGGAGACAGCAGTCAGAGGGCAGAATTTTGCCAGATATTGTGCTTTATGTGATAGGTGATGAAATCACTGGCAATGTCCTTCTTCTGCTGGCACAGAAAGAAGGGCAGCAACTGCCACTGCTTTTTATTTCTGGATGTGATCACACACAAAATAGCTATAGTATTTGTTATGCTAATTATATTGTTAAGAAATAGACAAGTGATTTTGCACGATTCATTATTTTAAACTATTCTAAAATTGCAGTATATCATGGCTACATGAATCATATAAATTATTCCTATTAACTCAGTGTTGAAATGTGTCATGATCTTTCAACTAGCATGTTTCCATACAATTGCCAAATACTTTTTTAGGATAAGTCATAGAATCATAGAGTTGGACACTGCATGATTCACTTTGACACCATCCCCAATAGATGGCTATCCAGCCTCTGTTTGAAAACCTCCAGTAAAGGGAAAGAAACCACTCAAACCTATTCCATTGATTGACAGCTTTTACTGTCAAGGAGTTCTTCCTAATATCTAATCTTTGCCTACATCCTTAAAATTTCAGCCCATTAGTTTTAGTCTTACCCTCTGGAGCAAGTGAGAATGAGTCTGAACCATCTACAATGTGACAGCCCTTCAGATATTTGAAGACAGTTCTCATGTCCCCTGTCAACCTTCTATTCTGAAAGCTAAACATTCCTGGGTCTTTGAATCGTTCCCCAGAGGACTCGGTTTCCAGTCCTTTCACCATCTTGGAGCCCTTCTCTGGGCTTGCTCCAGTTTATCAACGTCCTTTTTAAACTGGGTGTGCAGAACTGAACACAATACTGCAAGGAAGGCCTGATCAAGGGTGAATAGAGCAGGATAATTACTTCCTGCAATCTGGACTCTATGTTGCTCTTGATGCTCTTTAAGATGTTGTTGGCCTTCTTTGCAGCTGCATTACCCTGTTGGGACATGTTGAGTTTATGATCCACTAGTACACCCAAGTCCTTCTCCAACATGCTGCTCTTGAGCCAGATTTCCCCCATCTTGTACATGTTTCTTTCATTTTTCTTACCTAGATGCATGACATTACATTTCTCCCTGTTAAATTTCATTCCATTTGTTTCCGCCCACTGTTCTAGCCTAACTCCTTTTTTAACTTTCCCCCCTGTCCTCTGAAGTATTAGCCACCCCTCCTAGCTTTGTATTATCTGCAAATTTAGTAAGCATTCCCTTGACTCCCTCTCCCATATCATTTATAAAAACGTTATAAAAAATGTTAGGGTTGGAGAAGCTTTATTTAGTAGCTATTTTTTAAACTATTAAAGAGTATTTTTTTTAATTATTAAGGAATACCCTCCCTCCATTATTTACTAAGCATCTACATCAGTAGATACTGTTATAAACAATTATATTGTCCTACATCTAACTACATATTAAGGCACAAACGCTTTTCCTAAGATACTGTCTAACTGATCTGTACTAAAATTGCTATATTTTCAAGGAGCATATAAATGATTTCAACATAAGTTCAATACTGCTTCTTTGTAGTATAATTCTGAACTTACACAAACATATAAAAGGTCATAGTCCCAGCCTTTAGCACTCTTAAAAGCAAAAATTACAATTCCATTTCACATACCCCTGATAAGGGAAACTGCAAATTGCAACAAATGTCAACAGCTCAGATATGCAACAAACCTGTATGCCGCCTTTGATGCCTTTTGAGTTGATCTGAACGAGAGAATCTTCGTTCACAGTCCTTAAAGTCACACTGATACGGCTTTTCTCCTTAGAAAGAACAATTTTATTTGAAGGAAGTAAATAAAATTGTAAGCATTAAATAAAACCCCATATTAACATGCTAGAACAACACTCACATATAATATAGAGCTAGTGAAAAGGAATACCTAGAGAAAGTCAGTATAACTGTTTTTTTTTTATGTTTCCACTTTCTAACTTAAAAATAAATGGTTGGAATTGCATAAACAATTTATTGTGCCAAGGCCTGTGAAGAGACCCACCTTCTGGTTGTGTGAAAATATAGCAATTTTAGTACAGATCAGTTAGACAGTATCTATAGAGCTAGTGAAAAGGAATACCTAGAGAAAGTCAGTATAACTGTTTTTTTTTTATGTTTCCACTTTCTAACTTAAAAATAAATGGTTGGAATTGCATAAACAATTTATTGTGCCAAGGCCTGTGAAGAGACCCACCTTCTGGTTGTGTTAGTGATTGCTGTGCTTTTTTCACCTGCTATGTATTTTAATTTTTGTAGTTGTGATTACATCTTCCCAATTACGTCTACCCATCCCACCAGGCCAGGCAGGAGGGGTAGGCTGCAAGTCCCATCTCCAAAGAAACTCCATCTGGCAGGACCCAGACAGCATGCCTTTTCTGTTGTGGCCCCCGCCCTCTGGAACCACATTCCCCCAAGGTGAGGTTAGCCCCATCTCTGTTAGCCTTCTGAAAGGCCCTTAAAACATGTTTTTTTCATCAGCCTTGGGTATTCTTGGGAGAGCATGAAAGGTGGCTGTATGAGATCAAGTGATGTTTGTTCTCCTGCATTCTTGGTTTTTTATGTTTATTTTGATATTTATTTTATAATGACCTTTTTATATGTTTACTCTATTTATGTTTGACTATTTTTAGATTGTTATGGAGTTTTTAACTATTGTGTTGTACACTGCCCAGAGTCATGTTTTTGTGAGATGGGTAGCTATATAAATATGCTAAATAAATAAAGAAAAAAATTGTTTTAATTTTTCTTTTAAATATCATTCAGAGTTCAGAATCATTGGCTGAGATGGGTGGCTATATAAATTGACTAAATAAATAAATAAAATAGTGTAGAGACTGGATAGCTTATGCGTGCAGCAGTTCAAATCTATGTATTTGCAACTAAATAAATCCAGTGATAGAATGCATATATAGAGCCAGTCTGGTGTAGTGGTTAGGCTAGATCAGATAGATAGATAGGTAGATAGATAGGGCATGTAGATAGGTCAGGCTAGAAACCAGGAGCCCGTGAGTTCTAGTCCTGCTTTAGGCACAAAGCCAGCTGGGTGACCTTTGACCAGTCACTCTCTCTCAGCCCCAGGAAGAAGGAGGCAATGGCTAACCATTTCTGAAATCTTGCCGGAAAAATGGCAGGGACTAGTCCAAGCAGTCACCAGGAGTCAACACTGACTTGACAGCACAGAAAAAAAAGAAAGAAAAAGGAATACATATATCTTTTTTTAAAAAACTGGATAGTATCCACGTGCTTAAAATTGCACTTTTTAAAAAAATAGTTAAATTATTATTTTTTTAATTTAGTTATTAGTGATACAGTAAAATGTTACATTTAATAACATACAGTTATATAAAATCTTCTTGGAAGTTATAGACATGAATCTTTCAAAGTTTAAACTAATATAATAGTTTATATTATACAATAGTTTATTGTATACAGGACATTTCCCTGATGCATTCTATATGTGCTGAACTCAACTCCAGCTCACCATCAATATGCAGCATAGTTTTCCTGGCCAAAACAGGAAGCAAGTAAAGCAAAAATTGATGTTGCATTAGTATTACTAAAGACTAATGCAGGTTTTTAACCTAGGTTCTTTTCATGTTTAATCAATGTAATTTATTTATGTAGAACATTTTATCTCTCACATTTCAAATAAACTTGCCTTGAAACTTATTCTGAAGAAGTTTTAATTCCTAGCACATTTAAAGAGTGTTAGTGTAATAGTCTCAATGATTGGATGATTAATATAAATTAGTAGACTGATGACATGCATTAATAGACTGACACCATTACACACATGCAAACAGTATCTATTCTGTAGCATAAATTTTAACTGACAAATATCAATGAAAGTCTTCATCCCAACTCCAAAATGTTGTGAAATACTGTATATCAGTTTGTTATTACTGAAAATGCAAACAGTGAAAAGTTGTGACAAAAGAATCAGCCCTGAAAAATTAGGGTAATGTTCAACAAGCCAGCTGTACATCCTTTACAAAAAGGAATCATGAGTTTGTTGTTTAATTGAGTCATGAGTATATTGTTTAATGCTTTGTGGTTATAATAAACACCTTTTTTATAGACCACTTGTTTATTAACTAAACTGTAGGCCTGCTTTTTATGTAAATTTTTGAGGAAACAACAGAGTGTTCAGTGCCATTTATGATTTCTTCTGAAGTTAACCATTTCAAATACTAATTCAGTGAAGTCACATAATGGTAAGTGCCCAGCTAAATGAAAGCTATGAGGTATTCCCAGCCTGATCACCTGCTCTTTTTGCCCTTAGCATGTATCAAAACATGTAAAATTCAGTTTCACAGATAATTCCTCCATTGGCTGATCCAAAATCTGAAGCAGCGTTAAGTCCATGGGGACTGACCGGCAACAGAAAGTATCTTTTTACAAAATGTGTTTCTCTCATATCAAGTTATAATTCTGGAAGTGCTAGCAACATCTGAAAGTTTGGCATCCTTAGCAAATTATCTCAATATAGAACCCAAGCAGGAGGATGAGCATTAGGTTCGTTGTTTAGTTTGTTTTCAAGAAGAGCTACATATGTTGATATTTTTGCTTCTCAGTAGTTACTGATCAGTCTGTGGCCTCAGTAGATGGTGAAAGTAGCCAACCAGCCAACCTTGGCTGATCTTAGAAGCTAAGCAGGGTCATCCCTAGTTAGACTTGGATGGGGAAACTACCTGGGAATTCCCGGACTATTGATTAGACTGGAGAGTTGAAAACATCATGGAAGAAAGCAATGGCAAACAATTTTCATAATACTACCAAGAAAAATGTATTCATGCAGTCACCTAAGAGTTAGGCTCAACTTAAAAGCATTTTACCTTTACCCTAGTTCCCTATCTTGGATAACCAGAAACAACTGAATTACAATCCCACCATCTCTGTTATGTCCCATACTGAGATGTAATCTACTAACATATATGAACCAACTTCTGATGAAAATAGTAGTCACAACTTATCTGGAGAAACCTGAGTGGGGGAAGCTGACCTCTCAGCAACAAATCAGCTCTGTAGTAAAGTCAACAAAGAAATTCCAGTCTGTATAAAATGAGTTGAGTGGGTTCAGATTTTAGTGTTGCATAAAGGAAATCAGGAAGAGAGTTACAATTATTTAACTTGCAATACTCTATGGCCTTTTTTCTATTCCCTTGAGGAGATGCTTGACTTAAAAAAAAAAAAAGTCCATTAATGTAAATCTTGTTACTTAATGAAATTATTATTTTCAACACAGATAATCTGTTACAAAAGCTATTTCTTCAAAGTGATGAGTTATTGTATTCAGTTTGCTCACAGTTGAGCTTTGCTGGGAAGAAAAGTTCATAGAAACTAAGTATCACTTTGTGTATTTAAAAAAAAATCCTCAAGTCATACATCACTTGCAAACTCATGAATCATTATTGCTGCTTCATGTTAATGATAGGTGAAGGTGGTGCAGTATTATTGATAAAGATTTTTTAAAATATATTATTTCGGGTGCTCCAAGGAAAGAGTACCTTTTTATATCTAGGTCAACAGTATTAATACTAGGAGGGGACTTAGTAAGCAACCATAATGGTGACTGAGATGTCAGCAAAATTTGTGCTGAAACAGTGATAAGCACTGATACAAATTCCAGCTTTGTGCATCAGAGTTCCTCAGATAGTAACACTGTGTAAAATAACAGTCTGCAGAAAGTATAATGAATCAGTTGCTTTATAAAGGGAAATCTTATGACCCACTCTGTTTTCTTCTTTTTAAAAAATGAGTTGCTATTCAGCTGCCCTATTTCTCCACTGTATAAAATGCAAGTTACATTTTTAAGTACCATTCACTATGAGGCTCCCCCCAGCAAATATTATTCACTCATTTAGAATGATGCACTAATCCTCTAAAAAAAAAGTCTGAGATGTCCTAAATACTACAGTGTGTATTATGATATGCACGTCTGTGGATTATAGCTCACATCATTGCAATCTGTAAAGTTATGTATACATATGTATACATACAGTACATACACATACATATAAATATACATATGTATATGTTGTTGTTTAGTCGTTAAGTCGTGTCCGACTCTTCGTGACCCCATGAACCATATTGCGCCAGGCCTTCCTGTCCTTCACAGCCTCCCTGAGTTTGCTCAGTTTCATGCTCATTGCTTCAGTGATGCTATCTAACCATCTCATCCTCTGCCATGTAGGTCGTTGCTGATTTTATGGCAACATTTTTGGTTTTGTTCTAACATTCAAATGTGAACTTATACCATTGTCCCTCTGTGTCTTCTTGCAGAAGAACTGCATACACCACATTTTCATTAGTACATGACCCCACTGAAGTATTATGCTGATAATTCTGCTGCCAAAGTCTCACAGAATACTTACTCCTAGAAAGACCATGAGAAGCTTCCATTACAACAGCAAGAGCACCAAGATACGGAATGAGGCAACTATTTAGGGGTTGTGCAGTCCATGAAGATACTTACCAGTGTGCTTTCTACCGTGCATCTGCAAATGAGACAGTTTAAAATATCTCTTGTTACAGCCAGGATACACGCACATGAAAGGTCGCTTTTCATTTGTGTCACTTGCTGATCTAACAATTGTCGGAGCCACTCCAGGCACCCGCCGCACATCCTATAATGGCATAAAGAAGAGGGTTTTACATACAATATATTTTGAACTAATCAGAGAATTGTAAAAGCTATAGTTCAACAAGACTTCCTACAGTCAGACTTTTAAGTTTCCCCAAAATACATGTAGTATCAAATCCTGATACAGTACTGTTATTTGTATCATGTCATAAAGCAAATTGTAACACAGCTTTCCACAATCCAGAAGGCTGTTGTAATGTGGTGCCATTTCACAAGATAAAATACTTGGTCCTTCATTTTTACCTCACATTAATTTTCTGCCTGCAGGATGGCCCTCCGGATGTTGGACTACAATGCCCATAAATCCCCACCATGCTTTTTACCCAACATTGCTTGGAAATCATGGGCATTGTAACTCAATATATCTGGAACACCTCTCAGCAAAAGGAGCCAAATTAGTATTTGTCGGCACTAGATCACTTAAACATTTTCCATTTAGAGAGATCTTATAGTGAACAATATATTCTAATCAAAAGAAAATATAGTGTTTTCTTGTCATTATAAATAGCAGCCAGGCAAGCAGTCTAAAATTATATATTTTCCCTAATATACTTACCTGAATTCCTCTAAAAACTCCATGGGTATGTATTCTGTACTGGGCCCCACAGCTATATAACATTGGGCCTGCGTGATTATCACTTTCATATCCTGTTGCATGGCTGAAAATAAAAAGAGGTCAGAAGTTGGAATTAAGAAAACTTGATTCATAAATCTTGTTAGAAAAACGTTTGCAATATTTCTTTATTTATGCTGAAACAGTTTCAAAATCCAAACATCCTATGATGAAAGATACCCCAATTCTGCTAAAAACTTAGGCTTGAAAAAAAAATGTAAGTTTTGTTCACCTATACTTACAGCGGCCATACGTACTTTATTATAAAGGACAGTCCTTTATATCAGAAAGCAGTTCTTTAGATTTATTTACTTTTCAGAAACTCACGTTTGTCCTTTATTTTGGTCGTTTAACTTTTATTGTACAAATGGTACCATTTAACACACAGTCTTCCACATTCATGTGAAAAATATGGAAATTGAATTCTTTAAGTATACTGTTTGATTTTAAATATTTTTATTAGAATATGTGTTTTTTACAAAATTTTTCTTGTTTTTGCTCTTTAATTTTCCTTTGCAAAGCAAAGTTATAAACATAAACAATTAAATGTTTTTACCCTTATGAATCTCTTTCAGATTTGCTCCTTTTTCAGGTTTGTATTTTATTTTTTCCAAGAAAATGTGATCATGGTACCTATACTTTAACATTTGAATACTGAAACAATTTTTTTAAAAATAGAGAAAAATAGTAGAGGCACAAAAAGTAATGCTGCATATGTGCAAGGCATTTATTAGCTAAATGCCAAGTTGGTAATTACTAATATCTTTGGAATTAGCCAAATGCCTCAGGTTTCACATTAAGTGCAGTGGGTTTTTGTCAGCACCTCATGACTCAGATATAACCAGATAGAAGAGAGAAAGTGATGACATTTACAAGAAGAGCAGTGCTGCAGCCACAAGATAGGATTACAGATCAGGGTCCTAACTATTTCACTCATACATCTGCTTAGAAGATGCATTGTAGCTTGACCTTTAGTAAAATCAACAAACAGGGAGAACTCTTCCCTGTAGAAATCAATTATCTCTTTTACTTCCAGTGAGACTTAGAATTTTAAATTCAAGACTAGAAATCTGTTCACATCAATCATACATGTTCTGCAATAAGTTGCACATGAATCTGTGCTCCCCAAATTTCAAATAGTCATGACCATTGTAATGTGTTATGATGGCCAAGGTCCAGAAATATTAAACACCAATGAAGACAGTAATCAAAACAAAACATTGGATGACATCAAGATGGTCAACAAATAAACTGAGTTATAACTATGGGAGACCTTGCATTAGTGCCTCATTTTCACTGCTGCTGCACAGTATTTTGCTACAATTTGGGTTTGAGAGGATTTGAAATCTGAAAAAAGGATACTCATATGGAAGTTCTGTTCTTTGAGGGAGTTGAGGAAGCAAGGGTGAAATGTAAGTGTTGCGGATGTTCCTGTGGATGCTATAGTACAATAACTCATGTAGAACTGTTGAACTCATGTCATAACTATTGAAATCCCATGGGATATTGAAATATTGAAATTCCATGGGCAAACATGTTTCTCACATGGGATCTTAGAATAGCTTTCTTGTAATAGCACATTATGCCTAGCCCAGAAAAAAAGCTTTCCTTGACTTCCCTATGCCAAGCTGTTTACTTCCATCTGAGACTCAATACCATTTAGTCTTTGCAGAACTGTATCTTTGGCAGGGTCATACCCTCATATAAACCTAGTTGATAATCCACGTCATTAATTTTTCCTCTATGACACTGAACTTCAAATGGTTGAGGCACACTTTTTTCTTCAACTAAGAGTCAAAGTCTCTTAGAATGGGGAGGAAAAAAACATAATTTTAATTGTATATGATTTACCTTATACACTCGTGGATAAGCCAAGAATTTTAGGTGCCAAAATACACCCCAAAAATTGGGTTCAGTTTATCCATGAGTATATAGGATAATACTTTTTTAAAGTACCCATATATCCCATGTATACTCGTGGATAATCCCATCTGAAGATAAGTTGACCCTCGAAATTTTAACCAAAATACCATGAAAAATGTGCCACCCATGGATAAGCCAATTGTGAAAATTAAAACATACGAACATTTTTAGGGTCAGCTTATCTGTGGATAGCACATTTTTCATGGTATTTTGGTTAAAAATTTGAGGGTCAGCTTATACACAGATGGACTTATATGTGAGTATATACAGTAAGAATTATTTACCCTGAAACAAGATCAGCATCTTGAGTTCAAATGGGGTTTGGCTCCATTTGGGTTGTAGCTTCATAGGATGGCATCCTGTTGAAATTTCTGATCTAGATGAAGAGTTAAACTTTTATTGGGCCAACTTTGTTAAATTGGTTCAGCATATGGTTTTTGGTCACACAGAGCTCTTCTTTAGCTAGGAACTATGTGACTTTTCCATAATCTTAACAGGGAAACCTTAGATTTTGTCAAAGCATTCAACTCTGATATACCCCAAGTTCTATTGTTTGCAGCCCGGCAGTACAGAAATGATGAAGGAGAATCATTTTATTTATTTTGTAATCATGTTTTTATTTCGTTTTCTTCTAGCGTTTGTTTAAAATCAGTTGTATTACAAGGAGTGGAATGGATTTCTTTAATATTAGCCAGACAACTGGTCTAAATCTCACATAAGTGAGGAGTATGGCAGTGGCATAGGGAGCTTGGAATCCTTCACAAGAAGGGAAGAATCCACCACTGATGTCCATTCCAGACAAACAGAACTGGATAAGACCTATGGAGTTGAACTGGTCTTAGATCTATTATCAATTGATTTAATAATTGCCAGAGCAAAAGTCTCCATGGGAAAGTAACAACTGAACAATGTCTGTATGGGAAACTAACACTTAACAGTTTGCACTAAATCAGTCTAACAGTTCCATCTTAAATAAACTTTTTGGAAGCATCACCAATTTTTAAGAGCTAGTACATTCAAATATGTATGAGTCATGGTTAAAGACTCATAGAAAAAGAAATTGTGATTAAGTGCCGGAACAATTTATTTTTATAATGCTAATATAACAAGCTCCCAGTTCTGATGTTTAGCCCGTAGTGAAAAAGAAAGAAAGAGAAAGAATTGTATAATATGTATACTTCATGTCCTAGCAATCAATGAATATACAAGGGGGAAACAAAAAATAATACTTGAAAAATGTCAAGTAAAGACTATTTAGCTATCTGAAAATCCATAAAAATCTTTCAAGTTAAGGCAGAAGGTATTAAAATTATTAATCATAATTTTATATAGTTTGTATAAAACTGGTAAAACAGAATATATTATGTGATGAAAAACAGAGCAGCTCTGAAGAATCACTTTAGTGTGTGTTTTTTTAAAAAAAAATCTCCTAGAAAGATTAATCTCTGATCTGAAAAGTATGAAACTTTCAATTACTTCATTACACCACCTTTATTTTGTTATACTGGCAAATTTCATATGATTCATAGTCTACAGTCCCAAGTTAATAAAGCTATACTAAGCACTTCTGAAGAACACAGTGACAAGTTAGCAAACATCAGCATGAAATATGAATACAGAACAATTCATCATCATCAGACTTGAATGTTTTAAAAATAGTTGGGGGTGGGAAGAGTTTACATAGAACAGACCCTACATTAAGCTATAGCATTTTAAAGAAGAAATTGGCATGCTTGCATATAGAAATAGCCAAAAATGTGAGGCACAGGAAAGATGCCATTTTCATTTAGAAACAAATGAAAAGGAGTTTAGTGTTACCAGTTCCTTAAAATATTTCTTATTAGAACACTGTAAATATCCATCGGGGGACGCGGTGGCGCAGCGGCTTAATGACGCTGAAAGTTGCCGGCCAGAAATGGTCGACGCTTCAGCG